ACGATTGAATAATTAAATCGGAAATCTCGACAGCATCAAACAAATTCAGATCCGAAAAAGATCCGGATCCGAACAAGTTCCGGATATTCGGATTTTTACTTGAATCGAATATTTTATCTCGGATTTGTCTTTATCTCGGATATCCGGATATCCGGATAAACGGATAATCGTCAACCCTAATTTATACAAATCATCATTCGCAGCTAAATTGTCCGATCTGCAAAATGAAATGTAATATCAATCATATAAAGCTCAACTCTGTCATATTAAATTGATTTTGATTAAAAGTTTTAATTTAGAGTCAAATTAAAATAATTATTTTGTATATATTTGAATATGAAATTAAATATGTAAATTAAAATTAATATTGATATTCAAGTACTAAATATAAATTTAAAAATAGGTAAAATTTATTTTTTTCGTACTATATTCAATTTTAGATAATGTATAGGATTATTGAATAAATGCTTGTGGAGTCGGAGTAAATGCTTAACGTTAATATTTATTCTGACCAAGTTATAAAAATTAATTAACAAAACGATGGAGTGAATAAGTTACGATGCAAATATGAACTCTTAACTCTGTCTTTTCCGATCACTCGTATATAGTCTTGTATCTCGGACGAACGTAACTCTTACAATAATCTCTTACAATATCTCGTATCGCGGGCGAACGTAACTCTTACTGTTTTACAATAGTCTCGTTAAATACTCTTAGCAAAACGTGCGACGTTAATACTGTCATACAATCTGATATAATCACTCGCGCGACTCATTACTTTGGATTGCTCTGTACTGCTCGACTTGCTTTCTCCGACTGACTCTTAACGATCGGAGCGGTCGACGCGTACAACTTTGCGAAACGTTCGATACGTGCATCTTCGATCATCGATTACCGACCGGGCACGAATAATAATCTCACAATAGTATCTACATTATTTTTACTCTACGGAAAGTTACAAAATAATGTGCTCTTTAGATAAAAGTTTAGAAAAACATTTTATACATTAGAAATAATTTTTTTTCTAATTCTTTTATGTCTGAATAAAGCAGAAAAAGCAAAAAATAGCGAAAAATAGTAAATAATTTAATGCCGTATTTTAAAAAAATTAATCAATCAAACCCGCTGCACATGTCTATGAGCTCAATATTTACAAATTATACAGCAAAATTGAGAATTTTTTTATATATCTATGTCTTATCACTCGTTTTTACATGCTAATAGCATTATCGAACTTAAATCCATTTGTCAGCGTTTCAAAACCCTGAATCTCTATTATTTTCTCATTAAAAATAAATATTTTTATATTTTTTTACAAAATCTAAAAACGTAATATACTTACCTCCGTTTTGTAGATGATGAGTCTCCCTGGTTACTTGTAAGTCCATGTCGAACCACCGCGGCAGGACAACTCATTATTTGCTTCATCGGTGCACAAATCACAAAGTACTTTGTCTCCTTCTTGATGAGCATATTTCCATACCCAACTTTTCTTCATATTACTCAAAATAGTGATTAACTGTCATAAAAGTAATTTCCCACACAGCATCGAAATATTTCAGAAAACTTTCAAAAAACTGTCAATGAAATATGAAACCTTTCAAAAAAACATTTTAGACATGTTTCAGATATGTTTCAGAAAGCTAAAATGTCCGCCAAGCTGAGATTTCAGAAATGTTTTTGAAATCTCAGAAATATTTCTGAAATAATTCTGAAATGCTTTAGAAATAATTCTGAAATGCTTAAGAAATATCTCTGAAATACTTAAGAAATACCTCTGAAATGCCTAATAAATATCTCTGAAATGCTTCAGAAATATCTCTGAAATGCTTCGAAAATATCTTTGAAATATTTCAGATACTTTTTCTCATATTAAATTGTTTCGGATTACCCTGTATAGGATCATCCGGAACAATTTCCTGTCCTTCGTAAAACATATTCTTGATCATAGTCATGATTTTGCTTCGCCGAAGGCCTGCTTATATTAGATCCCAACTGAAATTTACTTGCGAGTTAGTCTTACTATTATGCGCCGCCTAGCGGCGTCGTTGCATATTTCTCTGAAATGCTTCGTAATATTTCAGTGAAAAGGGTTATAAATGATTTCGATGAAACGTTTCAGAAATACTTTTGAATAATTTCAATGTTACGTTTCAATATTATTGTCCGAGTTATCTTTCGGAAAGCTTTCAATGATATGTATTTTAGACATTACGTACAAAATATTTTTCTAAAATGTTTCGTAATATTTCAGAAATATTTCAGTGAAAAGGGTCATAAATGATTCCGATGAAACGTTTCAGAAATACTTCTGAATGATTTTAATGTTACATTTTAATATTAATTGCCAAGTTATCTTTTGGAAAGCTTTCAGTGATATATGATTTTCATAAAACGTTTCAGAAATATTTCTGAATGATTTCAATTATACATTTCAATATTAATTTCTAAGTTATCTTTCGGAAAGCTTTCTGAAACAAGTTTTGCTGTGTGGGTTACAAGCTACACCACAAGGCAAAGAAATATTTTTTGACATACGGAAAACTGTCGAACAAGTCACATTGCGATGAATAAACGAAGATTACCGCTAACGAGAAAGGAATAACAAAATAAACAAACAGAGCGTTCAAAAACATCATCATAGTGCCTTCAGCAGCCCAGAGTGACATTTTGCTAAGACATAGGATTATTTGCACGTATTTTATAAATATAAATACGTTAAAGTATGTTGCGTGACACACGAACGCAAACATACACGCGGATAATTTAAATACACGGGTATACGTGTATCCACGGTGACCCGTGTCAGGTGTAACGTGTAGTACGACTACACGTGTCACGTGTACCCATGTATTTTAAAACACGTTTCTGACCGGGAGCTCTATTTTCTATAGGACGGTCATTCTTATTTGGAGCTGTGTGATGAGGTATTGAATGTACAGTAGACTTTATACACTGGATTTTACCTTTATTACGTGAGACCGTCATGAGACGTACAATGCAGTTTAAAGTCTTTTCGCCATTTTGTCTTTTTCCTTTCGCGCACGCGCAGTTACATAACCGTCACAGAGTTAACGGGCGCTAGAGGCGCTATAGCCGACTACGATTAAACCACCGTTACAACGAAATCAAAATACAAGAATTATATGAAACTCAACACTGATGTGTAAGTTGTATTTTGTACAGCTTGAGTTTGGCCGCGATGACATTTTCTGTAACATATTACGCATTTAAAAACGTTATCGCCTACAAAACGATATAAAGCTCTTGCTTTTTTGGCCAGCCTCATGCCGCAAATGCTACAAATCTTACCCATCTCGACAAATAAAAGAATGAAAAAATATGCTACAAAGTCGGAGTGTTTATTGCCGAAAATGAGAAAAATAATTCTAGAAAAATTCAAACAAAAATAGTTTTTCTTGAAATAGAAACAAAAATGTATGTCAGTCTTCTTCGAGTGACCTCCATTTAGACACGTAACGATTGGACACTGCTCGATTGGACACTGCTCGATTGGACACTGCACGATTGGACACAGTACGATTGGACATATGCACATTGTACGATTGGACACCGCACGATTAGACACCACATGATTGGACACCATTTTATTGGATACCGCATGATTGGGCACCGCGTGTGACTGCAGTGGGTTCCGCCTCTCCTATGGGGGGGGGGGGGCTTCACCTCTAAAAAACTAACTTATCCTAACCCAACCCTGTTGTATGTGTGACTCACTCACACAACAATTGGATTGGCATACGTGCCCAATAGTGCGGTGTCTAATCGTGCGGTGTCCAATCAAACGGTGTCCAATAAAACGTGTATAAAAGTACGTGTCTAATTGAGCGGTGTCCAATCGTTACGTGTCCGAACGGGATACGAGGATATCTGTCTTCTTCTTTAAGCCGCTTGATCGATTCTGAGCGTTGCGGACTTATCTGCATATATCTGTGTATCAGATATATGTGGGACCTACAGTTTAACGCCGATTCCAAAAGTATATGCAGGGAGAGATAAAGTAAGTGTATGTGTGAGACAGAAGGAGAGAAGAAGGTGGGAAGAGGGGAAAAAAGGGGGAAAAAGAGAGAGGGAGGGAAACGGATTAGTTTGGGGCAGTTTCGGGTAGGTTTAGTTGTATTGGATTAGGTTGGGTGATAGGTTGGACTTTTTATGTTGAGTTTTTTATGTTAGAATGGGTAATGTTAGGTTAAATAAGAGTAGTGAGGGTGGGGTGGGAGGTAGTAGAAAGGGAAAAAAAGCGTAAGAAAATGTTATATATTCTTAAATTTTTGGTCAGATTTTTATAAATCTGTTACTTTAAATGCGATTTTCACTATTTTCCCTTTATATCAGCTTGAAATAAACGTTTGATAATAATTTAGCACATAAAGAAATATAAGAAAACATGCATAAGAAAGGTTTCATCGCCAAAATCGGCGAAAATCACACACACACACACACACACACGCGCGCGCGCGCAGGACCGCTGCCGTTACCTCTCTACAACTGAAAACCTTATGCAATGCAAGTCGTGCTATTCCAATGATGGCATGTTAGCATCTAGTTTAGTATAGACATTTGTGGTAAACAGACGTGCTACTTTGAAGCGCCTCAGAAAAGCCTGTGCATTACTTATACGGGCCTGTAGTGCATCTCTAAAGCGCTACAAAGTGGCCTATTTGTAGAGGTCTGTAGCGCTACAAAGTGGCCCGATTGTACGAATTTGTAGCGGTGGTGCTACAGAGTGGCCCGTCTATACAGGTCTATAGCGTAAATAGCGTTTCTCTGAAGTGCTACAAAGTATCTCGTCTGTTTGGGCCCTAGCTGTATTTGCGTTATAAGTAACGCGCATATTATTTCTCAACCCTGATTTTGTGAGAGCGAGAAAAAATAATCAGAGAATTTATTGTAATTTAGCGGCGAGTTTATTAGCGGCGATGGATCGAACCGTGGCGCCCTGCGTCGACTTTTTTCAATACGCTTGCGGCACGTGGAATCGATTGCATGTTATACCAGAGGATCGGAGTGCAATCAGCACCTTCGAGATACTAGCTGATCAGCTGCAAGTGATCCTGAAACGCGTTCTCGAGGAACCGCCAAATGCGAACGACAATAATGCCACTCTTAAAGCGAAGATGTTCTACAGGTCGTGCATGGATATCCGTGGGTATAAATGATTCATAGGGTGTCTCAAATAATCGTAATCTCTCTTTTTTTTTATTATATATTTTGATTAAAAATTTAGGATTTTATTTAGAGGCTAGAATTTGAAGAAACGTCTAACTACATACATAATAGAATGTCTATATAAATATTTAATACTGATATTAAAGACTTCCGAATTAAATTTTATGCATTTATATATAAATAACAAAATATTTATTTAAATTTTTGGACACACAAATCGTGTTTTATTGGCATATTTTTAACCAAAAATACTTGAAATGATTTTTGATAAATATCTTTAAATTCTCGATAAACAAAATAGCAGTATGCCAGCAGATTCTAGCAGAATATGCAACGGATTAACATCAGTTATGTTTATATTAAGCATATGTTCTACTAATAAAATCTATTGATATAATTTGATGGTAGACTGCTAGTAGAAATTGAGCATTTGTCACTTTATAATCATTTAAATAGTTACGAATGGTAAATTCTGCTCAATTTTTGTAATCAATCAATCATTACATTCTATTAGCAGATTCTGATATATGATATTTTTGCTGGCACAAAACCAGCCATATAAGTATTTATTTTTTGTTGATTTTGCAGCAGATACTTTGCAAAATTTGTTTTCGACAAATTTAGATATTAATTTTTTGTTATAAAAGGCTATATAGCTATACCTATTTAAAATAAATAATATTTAAAAAACTCTAAATTTATATTATTATTGTTAGTTTATGTTTTAAACGCAGAGTTAAAAATTATATACAGAGTTAAGCATATATATATATATATATTTATTTTATGTCTTATATGATACGCGCGCTATATAGATTAACCTAATACTTACCAACAATTGGTGGAGACATAAATTACTAGCATGAGACTGTCCCTTCTATACATTTTTATGTTTCCGGACCTTGCTAGCTTCCGCTTTCTTTTTGCAAGCACTTACCTGTTCTTCCGTCGTTCGTGCAATAGCGACCTTTTGTATTTCTTTATCGTAATAAATTAGTGGAAAATAGATATCCTTGATTATTCTGCGCCATTAATTATCATTATGTCTATTTATACGCATCAGATTGAAAGATGTTGTGTAAAAGTGTTCTTCTTCTTCTTATGACGCCGTCTCCTTTCGAAGGTTGGCGATCCAAATGGCCAACATAGTCTTAGATACGGCCATGCGAAAGATGTCCACTGAAGTACAGCCAAATCATCTTCTGATGTCTTTCAGCCAGGAATTTTGGCGCCTGCCGATGGATCTCTTCCCTTAAATCTTGCCTTGGATGATCAGTCGCATGAGTTCGTATCTTTCTCCTCGCATCAGGTGTCCTATATATCTCGTCTTTCTCTCCCTGATTGTCAACATAAGTTTCTTCTGCTTATGTATACGGCTGAGGACTTCCTCATTGGTTATTTTATTTACCCATGATATGCGCAACATACGACGGTACAGATACATCTCGAAAGCATCTATTTTCTTTTCCGTATTTGGGTCAAGAGTCCAGCTTTTGCAACCGTATAACAGGGTAGAGAATGTGTAGCATCTGATTATACGGACTCTGAGGTCCAAACTTAGATCCGATCTCGTGAAGAATGTCTTCATATTCGTAAATGTTCTTCTAGCCTGCTCGATTCTTGATCTGATCTTTTTCTTAGGGTCATATAAACTGGTCATGATGGTTCCAAGATATTTGAAGGACGAGACTTGTTCCACAGTTGCCCCCTTAATAATCAGATGTGCACGCACATGTGTCTTAGAGAAAACCATGGTTTTGGTTTTCGTAGTATTCGTGAAGAAGCCAAAGCTTTCACTGTGTCGAACTATGCGGTCCATCATGTTTTGCAGGTCGTGCATGTTCTTTGCTAACACAACGGTATCGTCAGCATATCTGATATTATTAATCGTCTTGCCATTAATCTTGATTCCACCAGTAATTCCCTATAGAGCTTCCTTAAAAATAGCCTCCGAGTACATGTATATTGAATAGTAGTGGTGATAAGACTGCGATCTATGCTCGAAAATGAGTTGTAAAACCTTTCCTAAACCAATCGTTAATAAACACATCGCCAAGCGTCTAAACATTCTCAAAACACGCAACAATACACATAACACCTCGATTGACCATAATACAACCTTCGATTTAAAAAACTGCATACCTTTACCTTATATCAAAAAGTTGAGTGATAGCATTTGTCGCACGTTAAAATAACTCCACATCACCACCTTATTTACGGTTCCTAAAAAACTCGATTGCCTAATAAGACGAGGTAAGGATAGACGACCTTAATAAACCGACACAGTATACAAGATAAACTGCAGGAATTGCAAGGCTACGTATATTGGGCAGACTAAGAGACATTTGTGCACGCGCCTCAGGGAACACCAGGGCGATATCAGAAAGCACACTAGCAAACACTCCGTAGTGAGCGAACACAGAATGTCTTATGGGCATGATTTTGACTGGGGAAAGCCAGAAGTATTACATCAAGAAAGACATACTAGAAAGAGGGAATTAGCGGAGATGTTTTTTATTAAAAAATTTGACGGCACTATCAATTTACAAAAAGACACGGAGAATCTTAACGTTCTCTACGAACATATCATAAAAGAATTATAACTCCTTCTCCTTCTTCGCTACTTCCCTCTCTACGTCCTAGCTTATTACTACGGCAACTGTTTGTTTTTATATTGTCAAGTTCATCAGTCTAAATTTTACCACCGTACGGCTCTGACATGACACAAACATCTAACGAAGTATGCCGTTTAACGAATATTTTATATTGTATCGTTTGATCCCGACGCACAAATATGTAAGTTTCTAATTGTATAATTACGGATTTTTTATTGTCTTTTACTTATTGCGGAGTACTGAAATTTGTCGTTTAGTTTTTAGATTCGGCGTAGTTAAGGCATTATGCCTGACTAATATATTTGTGAGAGGTGTATTTGCGCTTGAAAAAGACCGGATCCACGGTCGAAACGTAGCGTTTTAGATCAATAAAATTTGGCCAGTTGGGTCGCTTACAATATCTCTGTTAATTTTCATTATTCACTGGCGAATCAAACTCTCTAAATCAATAAAATCATCCATTCCTTTCTCCTTCCTACCTCGGAGAATCCGATGTCCTGAACCTGTATCTCCGTTATGGTGGTCTTTATCTTATCCCAGGTTCTTTCTATTTCCACTGTGGTTTGTTCCGGTCTCCTTTCCTTCAGTTCATCCTTGAGTCTGAAGCTCACGTGTGTCTGCATGTCTGGTTTTTGCAGCTGTCTGATATCTATCTTTTGTGGTGTTCTCGCCTTCCTGACTTTTGTAAGACGTCGCATTCGGAAGTCCATGACGACTGGGTTGTGGTCACTGTTAATATCTGCACCAGAATATGTTTTTACTGTTTACACATATTTTCTCAGCTTCGTTTATTAGGATAAAATCAATTTGATTTCTTAAGATTTTTCCTCTGGCATCAGCAAGAGACTTCCAGGTGTATAATCTTCTAGGATGTTGCTTGAAGAACGTATTAGCGACAAGGAGATTATTTTCGGCGCAGAACTGGACGAGTCTATAGTCTATCTCCCCTAGTATTTCTTTCACCCAGGCCATACTGCCCTACGGTATCATGTTCTGCACCAGATCCGACTTTTGCATTAAAATCACCAATGGCCATGGTTAGTTCTCCTTTCTTTGTGAGCCGCATAGCTTCATCTATTTTGGAGTAGAATTCTTCTGTTTCTGCATCCGTCTTGTCATTTGTTGGCGCATATACTTGTATGACATTCAGCGCTCGGTGCGAGGTTTGTAGTTTCAGCATCATAACCCGGTCATTTAAGGGTATAAACTCTGCAACTGATTCAGCAACTACATTATTTACAAAAATGGCCGTTCCATATCTATGGTTGGTATCTGAGCCTCCAGAGTAGTATATGACACCGTTGCTTGTTTTCTGCATGCCAGATCCAGGCCATCTAACTTCGCTGAGTTCTAATATATCGATGTTTAATCTGGACATTTCTGCTTCGACATTTGCTAGTTTTCCTGCCATGTATAAGCTGCGTACGTTCCAGGTGGCAATTCGTATTTTTGTGTTATATATTTTGATCTTGCATTTACTTTCATTATTCTTAGTGGTAGACGACAGGGAGATTCTTAGCACCCTCTCCTCACTTAAGAGGTGCTCCGGACTGAGGGCCGAATTTTTATTGTTTTTGTCAGCCATTAATATGTTTTGGAAGAAATAGTGTAGTAAGGGTTCCGTTCCTTTTCTATACCGCAGTGCAGAAGCCGGGTTCGCTCACTGTTGCTAGACGTTTTCCGGTGTACAGTACTCTACCGCTCACGCGCTACAGCCTGATTCTGATGAAACTGCTGCCTTTCATCAGTGCTAGATTTTGGTCCGCCTCGAGTATTTCATTTTCTCGGTACCACCCATATCTGGGAGGCATTTCCCGATTCGCCATCTGGGGAGACGCCCGATGGAGGATCTAGCAACCTCACACGGCATCGCCGATACCCCCTCTTTCCTCCACACATCTACTTGGAAAAGCGGTGGTCGTGGAGGGTGAGTTCCCCATTGGGAGGGAGGTTCGACTTGGTGACGTGCCCCGAAAATTCCGAGGACACGTGCACCCGGTAGCCACCGCCGCCTTCCACCAGATCCCGCCCCAGGTCTCCGAGAAAAACTCCCGCAGGATTTGTGATATTTGCCTGGGATCGAACCCGAATCTCCAGAACGTGAATCCGCTGTTTAGCGTTAGTGACTACAACTCGTAAAAGCGTTAAATCGGTTTATAATCGGCAGATCTCGGGTTTGATTCCAACATATGCTTCGTTTAATATATGCCTCGGTTTATAAGAGGTTGATTAGAAAGAGAAAATTTGTATGGCCAAATAGAAGATAAAATTTGCGAATTTATTTCAGAGAAAGGAATAAATGGATACAATTCTTCGCTTAGATAATATTTATTTTTATATTTAAGATATAGAAAACTAATTTTGTGATATAAAACTTATTAAGAATATAGGAGTTTTCTCATTGAAGACAGAACTAAAAATTTTAAGTTTTGCCATGATTCCATAATTTCTAAGAAAGCGACCTGCTATTTTTTTATTCTGTTTTCCTCAAGACATTTTGCTCTATATGTAGATTGAACTTAGATATGGAATTTATAAAAATTGTTTTGTCTCTGTTATTATAATAAATAACATTAATTTTTATGCAAAATTAGAGTTTTATGTTTATATTGTTATCATTTTGTAGCAACATTTCTTTAATGATTTATTTTAAGTTTAATCTGTAAAGCAAAATATCCCGAGAAAAACTAAACAAGAAAATAGCAGATTATTTTTTTTAGAAGTCCTTAGAACTTGTGATAAAATGCAAAATTTTTGGTTACGTCTTCGATGACAGAAAATCCTGTATTTTTAATAAGTTTTGTAATCCAAATTAATTTTCTACGTCTTAAATCTAGTATAGTAAATAACATCTAAACGGAGAACTATCTATTCATTTCTTTTCCCGAAATAGATTTGCAAATATTACGTCTTCAATTTGATTTCCGATCCTCCCTTAAAGGATTAAAAGTTTTGAGTGAAATAGTATGAGCTTATTTTAATACGCTCGATTGTAATCCATTTCTTTTGGGAATAATAAATTAATGCACACATATGAACTAAATTGATAAAATATGAACACTGAGAATTGACTCCAAGGTCGGTATTTATATATATAGTTCGATCTTATAGTTAAGGGAATCCTATAGCGAAGGCCGAACTTCCTCGATGTCGATAATGTCAACATTTCTAATCCTGTTTTCTCTATATTTGTCCTTATCTAACTATAGTAACCTGTCCTTGTTCGATCGCTGCGCCATCCCTTACTACACGCAATACTGCTTATCCTATCTACCTGCATGTGCTTTTGCACATATAAAAGTTAAAAGCATGCAACTTTTTTTCTAGACTTTTAATCTTAGTTCTAATTGCATGATATTGTTCTTAAATGTTATTCCTAGAGGGTTTGTATCTCATTTTGTATATATAAACTGCAGTATTTTTGTATAAGTAAATATTGTCGTCAGTGACAATATTTGCTTTATGTGCCCAAATTTTTAACTTTTTTTTTGTTTTTAATGTAAAACCGACCTTAGCCCTCTACATTTTTATGCGTAGAGGAGACTGGGGCAAAGTCGGCTGTTTTTTTTGGTGCCAATTTTTAACAACAAAATGAATCATTTTAGTAAAATATAGTATTGTAAAGAGTGAACCCTTGGCTACAAAATTTATGGCATTTTTGGTCTACGTCGCTTTGTTCAACCGGTATAGAGTAAAAACGACAAAGGTACACAAAAATCGAAAAGTCAAAATTCCCGAGGCGGAGTCGTGTCTTCATTCTCGGACTGGATTTTAAATAAAGATACATAATTTTGATCATAAAAAATTATAAAATACAATTTATTCATTGTTTTTAAGTAGAAAAATGGAAAGCGGAAAATAATTTCAAGAAAATCAATTTTCTTTTTTGCTAACAGTTAAAGCATGTAAAAACAGAGTCTGACGTGCGCACGCACTCGTTGTGTGCCTTACGCCTGCACGAAATGCACTGTTTTCTATTATCTCCGAGCATACGCAACACATATTATTTAGCTTTCTTGACTTCGTTTTGGCTGAGAAACGACTTCGCCCCAAACACAAGTTTTAGGTTTGGTCGCTTATAAAATAATAGAAATCAATGACAATAAGAAAACTGCACTGGATTCGTGTTCAACATGCATTACTCTTTAGAATCGCTTACTTTGAGATTCGGAGAGACTATAATACTTAAGATATTACAAATTTTCGACGCGGAAGAAATTTTATTTTTGATCTGCAAAAATACGTTTGCTTTGATAAAAATCACATATGCTTTTAACTAAATGTCGGTAATTACTGCAACTATAGGATCCTCTTAAGACCGTCTTAAATACAATCTTAAGATATTATAAATATAAACCAATTACAAGAGCCATATGAGCATCTTAAAACATTACTTGAGACAGTCTTGAAATAAGAACGGAATAATGCGGATGAATACGGCCCCAGTGTTTATATGAGTAAGATATGTGTCTTATGTCTCGCATATCTTACAAAAACGAATTAACATAAAAACGTAGCTCGCATACGAGAGATCGGGGACGCCCCTTTGAAGAAAATCTTGGAACGTCTCGGTGGCTGGCCGGCGGTGGTGGGTACATCTTGGAGGCCACCGCCTTATCCACTGGAGGTTCTCTTAGGTCGTCTACGCGGCGAATACAACGTAGGCGTCTTGATGGAACAATGGGTCGGTCCAGATGATAAGAACTCTTCAGTTAACATCCTCCAGGTGCGCCGGCAAAGTAAGGCCCCGTCAATCGACGGCTATACAACACGTCAATGTTCTAATGAACGGGAGTCGTTCAAATTTTACCCGGACTTTATTTTATTTAAAAAATTTCAAAATAAGGTTTAAAATAATCATGTTCTCTCCACTTTTTCAAATAATCTTTCTTCTTTGGGATACGCACTTATATTGCCCAAAAACTGATTACAATAAAACGATCAAATAGTTGTGTGTGTATTATATCATAAACCTCATATTACAGTATACAATACGTAACACATATTAAATAATTTTTGCGTTAATTATTTATTTAGATACTACTTAAGAAAAAAGTTCGGGTCATATTTGCACGCTCCTCATATCATATTACCGAAGTCTTTGTGATAAAAATATTTATAATTTCTCTTTCCT